CACGTTCATTAGGAGTACTCTCTCTCAGAGGACGGTTTGTTGATGTAGTGCATGGAGTTGTTGTGCAAAAACCCTCGCTGGACAGAACAGAATCGTGCACAGATAGTGAATAGCCGGGGAAATAAATGTAAATATCTAGCGAAAAATTTCCCTCTGTGTTTAGGGATGTCTTTCAGCTGCAATCGTCTCTTGAACATTTAAAGTCTTGCGAAGAAACACGCAGCGCATGTGTCCCATGTATTTTTTATATAGATTTGTGTTCCTTTCCCCCTTATGTTATTCCTTCACGACCCCTTCTTGCACTTATAAATGCCTTAACCACTTGGTATTTATAAAGAATACGCCCTCTAAAAAAGTATTCAGCTCGAAGAATGATCAACCTTTGGTCCACTTCAGGACATTTTTCGTAGATATCAACACATGTAAAGTGGGTATTGGTCTCAAACTTAGGCTCCTACATCACAACTTCCTTGATATACAAACCGATGCAATATTTCACTTAATAGGGACCCTAGTGATTTGTCTCGAAGCTTAGACCAATTTCCAGGCCTTCGTTCTTTTATAAAACAGTTCCCTGGTCAGTAACTGATCTCGACCTTTTAATGAAGACGTGCCTCGGCGTCCATTAAGGTCAATTAATTCTATTCCCCTTATTGATCAGCGTTCCACGCGGATCACGGCTTAATGTCATGTATTAAGTTTAATCCAGTCTTTCCGAGAGCGACATGGACTGGACATCTATAGCTTTAAAAGGCCATTCCTAATGCGCTATGAGGCTATTTCGAGTATTGATTACTAAGGAAAACAGAGAAGGTCTTGAACTTTATATGCTTTTATTAAATGAGTAGCGATTGATTTAATGGGTAGCTAAAATTCATGTTTACGCTCAGGGACGACAGCAAATAGGGCAGGCAAGCTGGGATTTTAGAGTCAGAGGTGACGCAGGCCAGTTTTTACCCTTTTTAATAAATCTTCATACATGCCCGCTTTTTACGGCTGAACTTGAACTTCATATCAGTGGTGTTTGACTGAAGTTAATGGCGTCGATCATGGGAAATAAACTGTGTCAAATTCCCTCTATATGATACAGTAGAATCGCAGTCAAATATGAGGGTAAAAATAAAGTTCCGTGACCTTGTACATATCATACTCTGTTATGTAAACGAAGTAGCTGACACGCGTATGGGACATGACGCTCAAGATAACCAAATTTTGTCGCGTTTGTTCAATATGTATAGAAAACCATCCTTTGCTGATTCGTCTATTATTTATTTATTTATTTATTTATTTATTTATTTATTTATTTATTTTATTTATTATTATTATTATTTTTTTTTTTTTGAAAAAAATATTGTTTAGGGGGAAAATATCACGTGCACCAAAGGAAATGAAAAATAAATATTTATTAATTCTTGGCGGATACGTACCCGACCGACTGCGGCAAATTAATTAGGCGTGCATGTCTAAAATATCAGTGTTAACCTTAATTTCGGACTTTCAACGTCGTCCTTGTCCTTGAACAGTTCACCTTTCTCTGTGAGGTCCAGGTGGGCAATATATTTGATCAGGGTTCCTAGAAAACAGTGGACTTCAACACTTTAATTGCTGTGCGATAAATCGGACCTCGACTCTACAGAGTTCTGGCAGGCAAGTTGTTTTTTATTCTTTCCAGGCTGATACCTAATAAACGTTCAAAAGGTTAGAGGGTTAATTGTAAGTTTTAAATGACGATTAATGTATTTTTAATTACCCCATGTTGCAACTTCTGACATAAGAAGTGGATATTGTAACCCTTCATTATCATCCAGATACCAAAAATTTTTTCTTGCCTCTAATTATTCAATAATCCATCTATCTTGTGTGCTCAGGTAAAGGAGAAAATGAGGAACCGATATTTCAATGTTTCCCAAAAACGCAATTATGACGTCACCGGTAAAATGACATGTGTGAAAATATTACTTAATTTAGTCATTAAACACTGAAGATTTATATATTGTCCCAAAATTTATGTAAGACAGGAAATAAGGAGCTTTGGGCAAAGGGTGACAATAAGTATTCTGTGCTACACTGCATAGCAAAACTGGGACATTCTGATATATTAAACTTCAGTATGTATCATTTAAATTGCTCATTTTCATATTTACACACACTGGACAATAGAAGTGTCACCCCTACTGAACCGATACTTTGGGGGAGATAAATGACTGTGGAATCATATGCTCCTGGTATCATTTTATTAACATCAAATTTCTCAAAAGAAACGGTTCTGACTGAACAATTCAACTGTATCGATATTCTGACATTGCTTATATTCCGCCTCTTTAGGTTAATAACTTTGATTACTCTGATTCAGGGGGTGACACTTCTATTGTCGAGTGTGTGTACCTCTTCATGCACATACTGTACTAGTATATACATTACTTCAGATATTTATGGACATCTCAAATGGCTGTGTGCTATAGTGTTTGCAAGATGTGAGAGATAAATTAATTGATAAATAAATTTGGTAATTAATGACATTATTGGAGCATAAGTCGCATCAAAAGTTCTAAGGAACAACAAATGCATGATCTTACGCTGAATATCTTCAATGCAAAAAAAAAAAAAAAAAGAGGCAATTCAAGCCAAGAGCGCTGCTGGGCCATTTCATTTCGTTTGATACATTCCAAAATGAAATTGATCCAAAGAATTGTTAAATATGACTAGTGAGCAAAATCATTACCGATTTTATTGTCAGATTTGCAATTTATATTACAGACTATTGGCAAAAACGACGTATCAACAATCCATCATGGCGACACGGGCCGCATTAACGTAAACTCTTGCACCGAATACGGCTCTTATTTCCGAAGTTCACGTCTCAATTAAATGGCAAAGGAAGGAGCAAGGGAATAAACAGGGGGTTAATCAGCTGGAAACAACATAATTTTCGCCATTTATTTCCCAATCCAGGTCTCAAATTAATTCTGAACGTGTTTCGATTATTGACTAGAGTGGCTGTTTTCGATTCTTCTGCCGAAACAGGCGGCGTCTGATAGGGTTGGTGTTGCAAACACTTTCGATCAATTGTATGATAATACATGTATGAGAAAGGGGTAAAGAGGGGGAGACAAGAGAGAGAGAGAGAGAGAGAGAGAGAGAGCAACTTGCGACGAGGATATGGATAAGGATTAAAATTAAGTGGGCCTACTTGAAGTTGGAAATCTGTTAACCAGGGCCGTAGCCTCCGAGGGGGCAGGGGGGGGGGGGCTTCCCCCACCTGGGATTTAGAAATTTTCACACTGGTAGGGGGACACCCCCTCCCCCCTCGGGGGCTTCGCCCCCTCGTGTCCGCTTACTGCCCCTCCCCTGGCATTTTGCTCAGGCTACGGCCCTGTTAACGTAATAGAGTAGCCAGGATTAGCTCTGTTGCATCTGAACATTTTTCAATTCAATTTCTTCAATTCAATTTATTAAACCTTTGAGCCTTACGGCTCGTCAGAATGTAATACAGTGACAATATAAAATTATATCTGCTCAACTATCATGACCATTACTTATTTTTCAGTATGGCCTCCAATTTAAAAATAGAAACTCCTAGAAGTCGACAGAAAATCTTTTATTTGTGCCTCTAATGAATGTATATCCAGAGAGAAATAAATAAGTCTAATTAAAACCATCTCCGACTTTGATTTTTCTGTTCATCGTGTTTTTTCATTAGCCATGGTCTTAAATTATCTTCATCAGCTTGTTTGACATTCAACTAATACTTGGTGAGGGCTTGACCCCTGTTAGTAGTCGAGTTGCCATTCCCCCGGGCCACATAGTCGAAACATGCTAGGTTATTCAAAGAAAGGATAATATTCTTTGGGGTAAAAAAGTAATTTTTAGCTTGGCTTCTATTATCAGTTGCTTCTTCCAGGGCATTGACCACTTTTCATAATCCAATATGAATAAAATGAAATAAAAAAACATTCTTAGAGGTTCAAATCATACTTTATATTCTTCATTTTAGTGTCGAATCGCATGTTTATGAATACAGAGGTGCATATTGTGATTATTTCTTATATCTCAGCAAGTTATAGGCCCTACTAAGGGTGCTTTCCCAGAGATTTAGAACGATCTAAAGATTAAGTTTTAGATCGACCTAACTCCCTGGGAGTTCACGCTAAATTGCAGTCAGCCGAGCGGGCACCATAGTTAATTACCCCCTTACAGCTTTTAGTAGGCGGAACAGACGCTTAAGCCGGCCAAGCTGACAGTAATCTAGTGAGACTCCCCACAGGGATAGTTCGATCTAAAAATCTATGGAAATGGGGTGTAATATTAAAAAGAAAATGACCGCCAAAACGGTATGAAAAATACCTTTATTGTATGAAATGTGCATTAAATTTAGTAAAAAGCAGGGGTGGATCCAGGATTATTTGAAGTGGGTGTGTGATTTTTTACAGTAACCGAAGGGGGGAGGGCAGGACCCCCTGCCCCCCCCCCTCCCACCCTCTCTAAATCCGCCACTGAGAAGATTCACCACCTCGACTGGAACGATTGTAGTAGATGAGCATGTCACCATTGCCAGTGCGACAGGTGAGACAATATATAGAGCATAACACGACACATTTGAGTCCCAACACATGGCTACCTTAGACTAACACTAAGTTTGTTATATTTTATTTATTTATTTATTTATTTATTTATTTATTTATTTATTGTTTCTGTTTTTCTTTTACTATAAAAACCCAGTCCTTTTTTACCCAATTAACCGCATCAATGTCCTCTAAAAAACGGCTTGGAATAAACCGCTCTGTAGGACACCCATAACGTTGCCACGTAAGTGTAAATGTAAAATTAATAAATGAATAAGATATAATCCGATAAATATGATACAATCCCCAAAATCGTCTCTTTTAAAGCTTTATTTATTTTATATGAAAAAGAACGAAATGCGACAGTTTGACAGTCAGACTCCCTTTGTCGCCTCTTGCTCTTGTTAAAAAGGAGGCACGAAATTCCTTGGACCAAAACAACCAAGATGGAGATGGAGGAACTAGTCGTCGCTGACTCCTCGATGAATTTCACCACAACTCCTCAACAGGCATGTTCCATGTTCAGAGACGATCCACATAAATGTGTAAGTATCTTTTATCTGTAAAATGTCAAACTTATGTAAAGTGTTTTTTCACAGATTTTTCTAGAAATAAGAAGATGTTGAAAGTGTTTTGTGGGGTGTTTTGAAATAGAAATAGAATCGACGTCATATGAACATTAATTGTTTCCGGTAAATTCTGGTGGGCCGGGTATGTTGGAGTTATTTGTAGTTTGTGTTTAATTCTTTGTAATGCAGATTGCTTTTAGTTTTAGTTTTGCTTTTGCTATGTGCCTGTCCTTTGCTTTAGAAATGTGTAAACATAATGATAATTATAAAAATTACAGAATCCTAGCAGCAAAACGTGAAGTCTAGGATATTTTTCACAAAGTCGTTTCTTCAATCTTTAAAACTTTCATCAGTTCAATTCTAGATGTTTAAAGACAATCTTAAATGAAATGACACTTGGTTTGCCTTTGTCAGTTTTATCATTTTAAAACAGATTACAGTATTTCATAAGTCATGCAATAGACCAGTAACTTTATGTGCCACTGGGTATTTTACTATGAATCTATCTCCGTCTCTGCATTTGGTTTTCATTATTTAAGCATTTGATAAAAATGTCTATGAAATATCAAAAGATGGTGCATTTTATAAGAATTAAAATTATTTACATTCAGGAAATCCTCATTGCTGTAAAAAGAACAACTGCCTCCTTATCCTTTCTAGGATGGTGAGTATAGGATGCCATATTGATAAAAAATATATTCTATTATACTAAATACTACACAAGTCTATAGAGAAGAAGACATTATAATTTATTAAACCTCTCTAAAATATATTTATTTGTATTTCTATGCCTGTAGAGATGCTAAGTAAAGTCGGTTGATCTTTTTTATCCTACATTGTGCAAGCATTAATCCTCAACACACACATGCATGCTTGAACACACACACACACACACACACACACACACACACACACACACACACACACACACACACACACACACACACACACACACACACACACACACACACAGTAAAATGCAGTATTTTATCATATATATAGATTATACTAGATATACTAGTACATCATGTTATTATGTAAATAGATTGCTAAGCTCAAAAACATGACCCAAGAGATAATGCCTTTGACTGTTATCTGCAAAGAGAGTGAATTGGGATTATTATCATCATTTCTGATCAAAATGTTAACACATGTTATGATTTGTGGAGAAATATATGGTTTCAGATATGCTATACTAGTATGTGTTAATTGATCTCAAGTTATGAATTATACATAAAATATGTATCAGTGACTCTTTGGGTCTTAAGCAATAATATTTGATAATGACTAGAAAGTATATATATATCTTTACTGAAAATTTATTTATTGTAAGATCTTATTGTTTTCTATTTATTTCTTAATCATTTTCTTTTTTTTTTCCATATTTCAGCATCTTCATGATATCAGTGATTGTATTATTTAGGAAATATATAGTATTTACACAGGTGAGTCAGTAAACAAATATCATGATTATATACTATGTATGTATTACAAGTAGTGCACAAATGTACTCACACATGCACACACACACACATGCACACATACACATGTACACGTACACACAACACACACACACACACACACACACTTGATGTCTTGGATCAAGCATTCAGTGCACATGCACAATCTTATCACAAATACATACAGATCCACACACACACACATACACACACACAAACAATCAAATTTATCTAACTTAAATACTATGACAGTTCTCATAATGACCTGTAACAAAGGTGGAGTTGAATCAAATACGGAAATGATACTTCACTGCAGTCATTCAGAGAGATAAGAAACTTAATATTAACAGTGTTTGTCACAAACCTGTCTAGCAACCTTTTGTTTACGGGCATTTTCTCTGTTTGTTTGTTTATGTTTCTACTAGTACCTGAATGAAAGATAACAGAATGATAATTTTATTGTTCTTGTCATATTTAAAGAAGGAAGGGTCATTTAAGTTTGACATTTAATTTGGTGTTATTATTGTTTGTTAAATATTAACTTTGAAAATTGCATCTTGTCATAAGACTGACCACAATCATGATTACAGTTTAGTTATTTGGACTTTTTTTTCACATTTTCAGAGACTTATCTTATATCTTAGTGTAGCAGCATTTATGGACAGTATAGCTTATATAATGGTGAGGAATTACACTAGAAGTCTTAGAAACTTGTTTGATAAAAGTTTTTAAATGTTTTTATGATCAGTGTCTTTCTGCTCCCTTTCCTTTTCTCTTTTTAAAGAGATGTTTTAAACTATTTTTAAGTATAAAGCTATCAATATATAGTTTTCAGTATTATTGCAAAGTCACTGTATTATATTTTCATAATTTTTGATTGTTAAGTGTATATAACTGTAAAATTAAAATGCATATAACCAAATATGCTTTAATGATATTAATAATTATAAATATATTTTTACAATTACCTTTATTCAAACTAAGGTAAGCTTCATTACACTTTTCTATAGACAGTGTCTTTTTAAAGGAAGAATTTATAAAGCTCAGTGTATTTGAACTATACATATGTATGTCAATATGAAAGTTTTGTCTATGTTAGATTTTTTTCACATTTTCAGGGAGACATGCATCCTGATGGACCTTTATGTGATTTTCAGGCTTTCTTTATGACTCTCTTTGGTGAGTAACCCGCCATTAGCTTTTTTAATTTTTCATTTAATTTATTTAAAAAAAAAAATATATATATATATATATAATACTGTAGATAATTTATTTGATTAGTTTACTCTCCTTAAATAATATTTGTTTTAAAATTATTGTTTATATTGATTATTGTTTGGGTTAGTGTTATCAAAATATTAACTTCAATATGTCTGTTCAGTCAGAATTCAGCTTTTAAAATGTTTTTGTTGTTTTTATTTCCTTCTTTATTATCCTAACAGGGTTACCTTTAGTTACGAGGAATGATAGTATGATACTTTAAAGAAAACAATCCTTATAAATATTTTTGTGTGTAAATAGAGCCCAGTAACAAGAGGTTGTTGTAAGGGGGGGAAGGGATGGATTACCACACACACCCCAACCTCATTCTGATAAATCTACTAGAAGGTAAATATTCCAGCTCACAAAAAGTGCCACGTCAAACTATGATGTTTAAATATATTTTTGTCCTTTTCAGACTGGTCAGTCCTGCTATGGGTATGTGCTATAACTCTCAATCTTGCCATGCTGGTGATAGCCATGAAGAAGACTGAGAAATATGAATGGTAAGAGGTTGTCAGACTTAGTAGCCGGTGATTGCATTAAGGCCTGTGAAGACAGGACAGCTTTAAACTGGATATCAGTTCAAAGTGTGTCCACCAAGACTAAGTCCAAAGCGTTACTCCAGACTGGACCGACTGATTTTTCATGTGTGATGTCTGCTTACCCTCCCCCCCTCCCACACACACACACACACACACACACACACACACACACGCACACACTCTTGCAAACTTGAAAGAATGTTTTATGTGAAATGCAACTTAACAGCAGAGTCTTAATTAGCGTTGCTAAGAAATTGTTTATTGGCTTCATCAGAGGCAGTGTGCTGAATAAACAATCTACCCTTTTAGTCACTTGGCACATACAACATTGGGATATGCTCATAATCATCTTAATACCGTCTATTTCCAGGGCGTATCATATAGTGTGCTGGGTTATACCTATCATAATCATCTTAATACTGTCTATTTTCAGGGTATATCATATAGTGTGCTGGGTTATACCTATCATAATTATCTTAATACTGTCTATTTTCAAGGCGTATCATATAGTGTGCTGGGTTATACCTATCATAATCATCTTAATACTGTCTATTTTCAGGGTATATCATATAGTGTGCTGGGTTATACCTATCATAATTATCTTAATACTGTCTATTTTCAGGGTATATCATATAGTGTGCTGGGTTATACCTATCATAATTATCTTAATACTGTCTATTTTCAGGGTATATCATATAGTGTGCTGGGTTATACCTATCATAATTTCTTGCCTGCCTTTTGCTGGAGATAGATATGGACCATCAGGAGCTTGGTGGTAAGTATGGCTGTCACTGGGAGAGGTTGTTAGCTTTAGAGTTTTTTTTTTTAGCTCTCCCTCTCTCATGAATGTACAGAGTCATTGGTCTTAGTCAAGCTATTTTCTATGTTATCAAGTAAGGTGATTATAAGATATATTTATATTTAAATTTATTTTAGGTCAGTGTTTTTTTTTTTTTTTTTAATTGGATTAGTTTATCAAGTGTCACTTTAAGAGACATTTTAACTGCATCCATTTGTTGACTTGCTAAAGAAACTAATCACAGAGACAAGATGGATTATTATTATTATTAATTTTTTTTTTAGTTGGATCACAGAGTGGCCTTGGAGGTTTGGCATGTAAGTATAAGAAATGTATACACTAGAAAAGTGAAAATGATATGAACCTAAGGGCAGATAAAATGTTTCAATTTTAACTAAAACTAAAGAATAGAGGGTCACAAATGCCTGATGTGCTGATTACTTGAAATTGCACAGGGTGCCATACAATTACTTTGTACATAACAGACTACTAGAGCACCCTGAGGTCAGAGAGTACTTTATTTGAGTGAACTACAAGGGATCTTGACCCAAAGTCAACCAAATGGCTGGCCTAATAGTTCAGACCAGTTGATGAGCTAAAATTCTTTTGTGAAACACTGTGTATTCTGTATTATATATTATATGTATTATTTATTTTTCATACTCCTCTTTCTTATATTTTAAGCTGAACACATTCTAGGATGATTTCATTACTTATACTAGAGCTGATTTATTATGTGATTTTATTATTGGGCTTTTGTGTGCAATTTTATGTACGTACTCTTTTATGTCTTTCACCCCTGAGGTGGGAATAAATAAATAAATAAAGCTTTTTTTTGTCATTTTCTCAGCTGGTATGTACCTCTATTCCTGATCATTGCCCTGTTGTTTGTGGTCTATGTCTACATTACGGTGGTAGTCAACAGGAGAGTCCACACCTGGGAGGGCACTTATGACCCTGATGTGGAGAGAAATAAGGTAAGTTTTTTTTTTTTTTTTTTTTTTTTTTTTTTTTTTTGTTACCTTGTGTTTGTATATGAGCACTTCAACCAAGCTTGTTATTTATTTGATTTTTGGGCAATGCTCTTTTCTGGTATTAAAAGAAGACTACAAAACAATAAGGTAACAGCTCAATCATTTTCACTGAAAAAAAATGTCAGTTTTTCACATGGATAATTTTGGAATCATTTAAAATACATTTCTGTGTAACATTTTGGTATTTGTTAGTTTATGTCAACCAGTCATGTAAACCAGTTTTGAAGGGATCCTACTTTGCATGGTATTCATGAGAAACAAAATTGTTTGTTTGCATTCAAGAACTTCAACCTGTTTATTTATTTATTAGCCAGTGCTCTTTTCTATTGAAAAAAGACTACAAAACAATATTTATCATGATAATATGGTTGTGAGACATACTTTTACCTGAAAGACGCAGTTGAAACTTAATTTCAGTGAAACTTACTTTACATGCAGCACAGTAACAATTATATATTTAATTTATTTTCTTTTTGTAGCAAATGCTGAAAGAAGACATTAAGCCACTGAGAGGGTATCCATTTGTTTACTTAGCTGTTAGCATCTTTCCACTTATAAACAGGTAAAATTCTATGCCGTACAACAAATAAGAATACCTTCTTTGTTGAGAATTATCTTCACCTCATTGTATTCAATGGGCACTGAAATGAGATTTTTTTTTATTCGGGGAGGGGGGGGGGGAGTTGAAAAGTGTAGACCAGTGTAGACTAAGAAGTGGAACATTTTAATTCATAACACGTACTTCATGTACTACATGATATAATTTTCATCAGAACTATTTTATTTCTACTTCAGGATTCAGAATGCTGTATCTTCAGACCACCAGCCTGTGTTTGCACTGTTAATACTCCATGTCATCTCCTCACCACTTCATGGTAAATATACAGAATAAAACCCTATTCTCCTATTCCCACAGAGAGCATGGGTCTACAAAGATCAATCCAACTCTGCAGGGATTCTTGCTGAGTGCAATCAGCTTAACTGAATTACGTCACCTCTTGTGTCCAATGTATATATTTGTATTATCACCAGCTTGCCTGTATTCTGCTCAATGCCAGGAGGAGACATGTTATTCAGTTATGCTGATTGCCCTCAGCAAGAGTCCCTGCAGAGTTGGATTGATCAGAATAAAACCCCATTCCTGTAGACACCATCTGTCCAACTCTGCAGGGACTCTTGCTGAGTGCAGTCAGTTTAACTGAATGACATAAACAAATGAATAATTACAGAATTAATAAGGTTCATTTTAAAAAGACATTTAATAATTAGATAAAAATTATAAAAATTAAGAAAGAATGAAAATGCTGATTACACTACTGATTAACTATCTTGGACTGGTGATATGCTCCCTACTGCATTCTGTTTTGTTTATTAATGGTAAACATTTATTTTTCAGGTGCCTTAAATACAGTTGTGTTTGGAATGGACAAGGATACAGTGTCCAAACTGACTCCCAGTCAAATAAAGGTGAGGAAAAACTAACAGAGGTTTCACAGGGTATTGTTTTAAGGGCATTAACTCTTTGTCTCATTCTGTGACTTTTGAAAGTAGTGCTGTAGTTGAAAAGAACTCTACATCCACAATATGTTTATAAATTCATGATGCCCTTAAACCCTATAGGGCCTGTGACTGCATATATGGGGTTCATTTCTCACTTACCCCAAAGACCAAGAACTGCACATATATGTTTTTCAGAAATATGGGTGTTTTGTTGCCTTTTGAGTGTGTGTGTGTGTGTGTGTGTGTGTGTGTGGGGGGGGGGATAATATACTAAAAAAACAATAAAATAACAAAATTAAAAAGAGATGAAATTAATAAAAGATGCCTCATTGTTTCCAGTTGGCTATCCAGAGCTGGAGAGCAGGCAGGTCCATCATTGAAGAGTTTCCTACAGAAACTGAGTCTCCCGATGCCGACCCTGATGACGTCAACCCCAGTGTCAACCAAGAGCAATGACGGTTACTTCCACTGGAACCATAGAAGGATCAGTAGACACAAAAAACATGAAAGTGCTGTGTGGTGTGAAATCTGTGGTAAATGTCAGGTTTATTATTTGAAAAGTTGGATGATAGAAAGATTGACTTTGATTTTGTTTAATTCATGAACTCTCCTCACTATTCCAGAGATTGTGTTATAGTTGTGTCCACCAGATGGCAGTGGTGCACAAGATGAAACGTTTCAAAATTTTTGTCCCGTATTATGAAGTGTTCAGTGTGGCAAACCTAGGTATACACAATTTTCTGTAGCATTTTAATATCACGAACAAAAGAATTATTTTATGCTTTTCATATCTCGACATTTGCGAGCTTATTAATATGCTTGATGATGCTTATTTTGAAAAAGAACAAGACATTGTGAAGAATACACTTGTGGAGAAGCTATTATGTATATTGATATTTGATGTAAATTTGCCAGAAGATGAACAAACAATAGGAATATTCTGCTCAGTAGTGCGTCTCAGTGTGAGATCTTTTGTAATAGAAGGGTAAAATCTGTGTGCAGTTGTTTTTGGCTCTCATACTGTGTTCTAGTACTTTGAGATCTGCAGGGTACTTAAATCAAATTTGTCACATTTTGATTGTTCTTTTCACACTTATCACATCTTAAGATTTACCAGTGACAGTAAAGCATATGGTCCCACAATTCAGCACATATTATGTAGAATCCTTCTATTTCTTCAGTGAGTTAGTAATATATATGTCTGTTCACAAACATGAGATGGGTCACCTAGAATTGGATGGCATTGAGGCATGTGGCAATACCTTGGCCAAGTTTCACAAATTAACTTTGACCTATAACTGTTCTAAACTTTGATGCCATAGTTTGACCTTTGACATTTATCAGTTCAAGATGAAGACTTGGATAAAGTGGATAATGGTTTGAAACAAGAGTTGTGCCCTTCTGTTTGTAAAACAAGCACTTGTAAGGAGACTGCTATTGATTACATTTGCCATTTAATCAAAACAGACTAAAATTTTGGTCTAAAGAGCTTGTTCTTTTATGACCCAGACCACAGGTCCTAGGATCTCAAATGATGTAATTTAGTCTGTGACTGACCTAAGTTAGTCAAGTATGTGAGCAGGCTTCACTAGGAGCCACTTTGCTATGTCTTTCTCCACAATTATTTCCATAACTTTTCTTATAACTTTTTAATTATTTTTTTAATTTGCATAATTTTATTTGAAAGAAAATAGAATGTGTCTCCAACCCGAGAAGTTATTTGTTGGTTGTAAATGCTATGTAAACTTAATACTCACATTTCTATTTTTCACCCACTGACATTTTATAGCTGTTTTGTAGAATGTATTTTTATTTTTAGATCTAGAACTAATTTTGTAATTTTCAGTAATGTTTTGATGCTTTTTCTGTGACTAACTTTGTAACTTAGAAATGTCTTGATGTTAATGTCCATCCAAAATGTTTTGTTTATCAAATAATTATCTGTGCATATCCAGATATTAAGTTATCTAAAAGGGAACAAATATGAAGTATGAAATAAGTCAGGTTTATGAAATATATAATCGAATTTGATAGATTATTTGACACAATTTGACCACAGTGAAGAATATGAGACCAAATCATGTTTAACTTTATGAGACTTTTTCATGTATCTGTTACTTTTTATGGTGGGTAACTTATTGTATGCTATAGTAGTTTTAATTATATTTATAATGTGGAGAAATAGATTTTTCTTTGTCTTTTGTGTGATAGTTGTAAAATGTAAATAGTTTCTATAGAGATTTAACATTTTTTTCTACTGATGAGGCTTCACTACCACAAATGCATCATAGTACCTATGTCTCCTATGTAGAAAAAAATTTTTTGTCTGTTTAGAACCTATTTTAACCAACAGGATACCCTGTACAATGTATTTATATTGTTTTACGACATGAATGTATAGAAATATCATGTTGTACAGCTTATACTAGGTGTTGGGTAAAAGAGTAAAAGATACATTACGAGCAGGTGATATGTATGTGATATAAAGGAGGGGGAAGCATACGTGCATGTTACACACACACACACACACACACACACACACACACACACACACAGCTTGTTGATGAGTGATGTTTAGGACGTGCATCACAGCATGTTTGGCATACATGTATTCCAGATACACAGTGTCTCTGGTATTGGATTTATATGTAGTTGTGAGAAATATGTACAACTTTGATACTGGAACTATACTTATTACTTAGTGAAAGGACTAACTAGTCTGATGGTCAAATATGGCCAACCTGCTTGAATACTTCCCCACGGGGAATCTATTCAGTGTCTATTAGCGGATTAGACGTCGGCAAGCTTTGTAGTGGGTTGCCATATTTGACCCTCGGACTAGTTAGTCCCCTATTCTGAATGGGGCCTAAGTTATACATATTTCTCACACTTATTCTACTGGCTGACTTAAAACATTCACTAAGACCCCATTTCCATAGATTAGATCGACCTACTTTAGATCGACCTAACTCCCTGGGGGTTCACGCTAAATAGCTGTCAGCCGGGCGGACACGAAAGTTAATTACCCTCTTACAGCTTGTAGTAGGCGGGACGGACATTTAAGTCGGATTATCTGAAAGTAATCTAGTGAGACTCCCCACGGGGATAGATCGATCTAAATGTCTGGGAATACGCCCACATATGCAGTTTTATCACAGCCATATTGGGCTAGTGTAAAGAAATGTAGAGTCTGTATAACATAGAGTCCACCTAACATTATATTCATACAGGTTGGGATGCACGTGGGTTAAAATCTAGGCCAGGACTTAGTTGTTTTAGTTGGTGGGAACCTGGGACCTACCTCAAAGGGACCCTGTCTAACCCGCCAGTATAGCAAAAGATTTTAGACCAAAAGTTGTCCTTTAGTCCATTTAGACGACCCAAGATAGCAGTAGTCTGACAAAAGACTTTGCATAATAACAATTATTTGGGAGTTAAGATGATTGAAATTAAGAAGTGAACTGTAGTCACGAACAAATTGGTTACCTTCTTACCTTGTTACCTTGTATGTAAACTAGAAAAAAAAGCCATTGTGAAGGAGGTTTATCACATATTTGTCTACAAAATTGGTAAATTAATGAACATGTAAGATGTTAAGTTTTGATATGTATTTAAAGAATGACACTAGACGTTCCATTGAAGTAGTATTGACAGGATTATGCTGTTAGTTAGTACATACTGTGAATAAGAAAACATATTATTTGTACATTCAAAAATGAGTGATATGAGTTAAAATCTATATATATATCTAATTAATCATGAAAGTTGGAAATTATTTTCTATACGTTTTATGTACAGAAAGGTGTTTTATGGCACATTATTAATGCATATTCAAGAAATGTGATGTGAAAAGATATTGCTGTGACCCAGTGACTCAGTTAAGCTGGTGATAACATTTTTTTTTCACAATTCTTCATTTGCGTTCAGAAACCTTCAGTCGTTTTCCACTATTCATCTACTTGCCATGAAAAAAAAATGTACATAGCCAAATGAAACATAATTTATTCTTAAAAAAAACAGAATTTGAATCGTTTTTCCTCATAAACTGTGTATAAGGCCCAGTATTACACCCTGAGTTTCGGGGCACCTGTGCACTCTTATGGGTGTGGTCGTACAGATAAGATAAACGGATATTGGGACCTTGAAACTGGGTGTGTGAGAGCTAGTCGTATATTTGCGTATTACCTATGTGAAGTTCTGGCCAGTTAATGTTAATAAAGTCTGTCACAGTTTTAACTTTTGTTTGTTTGTTTTTTTGCAATTTTTCAAGTAAATCCGGTTGATGTCGATGGTGATAGGCCCTATTGGCATTAATATTATTTATTTATTTATTTACTTATTTATTTATTTATTTTTCAATAGTTTCAAAAATTGTTATAGGTTAACTTTAATTTCAAATCTAAATGTTTTTATTTTTCTTTCAAAATTAGAGAGAGAGAAATCTGTCCAGGCCATTGGTTTTATTACTTGTGTCAGAGAAGTCTTCACCGAATGTCATATGGGTGATTAAAAAATTGAACATTTGAATCTTCATTATCATTTCGAGTAATATTTAATGTATTAATACTTTTTTAAAACCATTGTTGATTTCATGCCGTATAGAGGGTACTGCATCATAGGACGGAAAAAATAATTAGGGGGAGTTAGAAGTATGTAAATATTGCGCAAAATGTGTTCACATTTTGTGGAGTGGCCTACATACAGTGTAACGGCAAGAAAGATGACAAGTTGTCAAGGTTGCTGGAGAATTGACCAGTCGGTTATAGCAGAGCATGGGCAGCGAGACCTCAGTGCAGGCGGTGAAGAAGACATTGCTATTTCTAAAAATTAATGTCACTTTTTACTGGTCTGGAAGACGTAAATGTTCTGGGCATTCTCGTGGTTTATTTGTGTCATTCGACTTAGAATATTGAAAAGGACCACGGTGATAACTGTTGACGAAAGTAGGGGACAAACGACCACGTGGCCTCTGCGAAAAAATGGTCATCGCAAGTGAAGTTCATGGGAATATTTCTTCCTATCCTAGACACTGATTCAGCTGCACATATAGGAATAATTGATGGTGATTCACGATGAAAAGTTGACAAACTTGGGATTGATTAGACTGACAATAGAAGGAGCTGGCAATATACGTGGTATATAGTATATAAGGCAAACGTGGAATGGAATAGTCAGTAGTAACATTGAGATAGGGCAGTGAATGCAATACGGACATGCTCATGATAATAATAATATGACGATATGTGTCATCCAAAAAGTATAAAGAGTAAGTGAAATCGTCATTATTATAGTTTGTGTAAGTTAAAATTAACCAAGCGAGTTATTATTCTGTGAAAGAATTGTCAAAATTTGATTTAGTTTTATTTCTTTGTCAAATCATAAAGTACATAAATACTTTTTTGCTGAGAAATGTACATTGTTACTAGTATTTTCAACATTGATTTATTTTATTGTAATGTGAATAAAGTTTTGTAAGTTTGAATTCTCTTTATCAGTTCGATTTTATTACGTGGTCGTGCATTTCGTTAGCTGTTGTCATACATGTGCATTGTGCCATCTGTCATTGCACTGAATTTTTGGTTTGTAGAGATGTCTAAATTATTTTACCCAAAATGTAAATCGATGCCACCTGAAACGCCAGAGAAAATCTAAGTCCAAATATTCGGTGCTGGAGCTATCATTCAACAATAAATATATTTCCCGAACTTCTCGGTTTGAAGATAAAAAACCTTAGGAACAATTCGTAAAATGAAGAGGTCACTATTTTACGAAATAACTTACTAAATAACTTGTTTCAATATTGACAAAAACTATATGAAAGCCATTCCTTAAAAAAACAGCTAAATCTTTTTCTTGCATATATTTCAGTTTGAAATCTGTAAAAATCATACCGATTCGTTTTGTGGAGTACTTATTTTCAATTGAAGCTTGTTTGGCCTACGTCATCAGTAACTATAAAGGAAAGATCGAAAGTATGCGTGGGTGGTTGGGCGAATAGACGAATCGGTAACGCGGTAGACTGGGAACCAGAAGATGACAGGATCGAATCCTACAGAGGTTTTATTTTGAAGAAAAAAAATGAAGCACGGAGTTCACTATAAAGGTTTCATTTGTAGTGCATGATTTCTCCCCGGCCCTGTGGCGTAGTCTGTAACACCTCTGACTTGTAAAAGTACTAGAGAAGAGGTACAAGAGAAAGAGATCGAGTTCAACAGAAATTAAACTGATAAAAACTTTTTGTCTCATCATTAATTGGAATTTTTCTAAAATATATATATCCATTGGAGAGTGAAATGTGAAAAGAAAAACTACTGAAATATTACGCCAGGTTGTTTAGATTTATTTCATTTCAAT